AGACTTAGAATTTATTAGTGCATTCATGTTAGCCCCAAATGATCACAGCTGCCTTTTCTCAAAACCATTGTAGGTTCCTGCCCAGGATTGATGTTAATTTTAAGCTAATTGTTCTGTAGTTTGAGGTATCTTTCTTTCAATTGTTTCTTGAAATTTTGAAAATCTTCTTCGCTTGCTGATCATTTGAAGACGTCTAATAAGAGTTTCATCTCATTTACAAGTTGCTTTTGTGAGTGGGATGTAATTAGCTTGGGCTGGGACACTTGAACTCATTTATAGTATCTAGGTCAACTCTATCACTTTACAGGTACTGAAGCTGGGGCGCCCAGAGGTGGAAAGATTTCCTAACATCATATAGGTAAATTGTCAAGAAACCAGACCTAGAACCTAGATATCTTGATCTCCAGCCAGTGTTCTTTCCATGATACTACACCCTGGGTTCATTCTTATCAGTGTCTGTTGGTTTTACTGTGTTCCATGATAACTGAATATAGTTTTTACTTGGGGGAGATATTGCAAATATATGCTCTTGGTTATGAGGGATCTGGTTGTGATGGGTCACTGCAAATTAATGATCTCCCCTGGGAGAATTTATCAGCTCCTTTCCTACATATTGTACCCGAAGAGTGGGACACTAAAAATCAATATAAATTTTCTTTAAGTCACATTCATGCTGTTAGGGAATACATCTATCCTGTTGTAATCTATTTAATTAGAACTATTCTGAACCAACTGTAGTGGCCTCTGTTTAGGCCAGGGGAGTCTCTGCCACTTAAGTTCAATTTTTTGAGAACCTTGACCACCTGTACAACAAATGCCAGTCATTGCTGAGCACATTTCTCTCCAGCTTTTCTTGCTATTGGTTATTTTCTTGGTTTGTCAAAAAATATCCTCTAATAATTAGTTTGTGTAGGTACCATCTTTTAGTGATAACCTGAAAAAGAAGGCATTTAATTATCTAAGAGAAATAAAAAAGTCTCTTCTATTCATGGTATGGTGTGTGGGCACTTTTTTAGTACCTCAGGAAGACTAAGGAAAGATTCATGATCTTTCTTAAATTAGAAAGTATGGCCATGAACTTTAGTCATTGCTAAATTAAGTTGATGACAGTTTCTTTGTACTATTTTATAATCCTTTAGGGCTAATTTTTACCATTAGCCCTATGAAGTCGCATGGCAGAGTGGAAAGAATTTATGCTTAATTTCAGTTATGGTGTAAATCTAGTTATATTTGGGATCTGCCATGTGTTACTTATGTGGCTATTGGAGAATTATTTAACCTTTCTGAGTCCTGATTTCTTTAGCTATCTGGTTTGAAGATTGAAAACTATGTATGAATATGCTAGTATAGTGCCTGCTGTTAGAAATTATACAGGAGGACCCTAGTGTGATGCCTGGTATTAAGCAGGTACTTAGTAAATGATAATGGTGGTAGTGGTTATTATACATACGTGAATTATACATACGTGGTTTTGTTCCTTGTATATTTTAATTTCATCTTTTTGATTCTATATTTTTAAATCCATGTAGTTTTAAACTTTAATGTAATTATGGATTGTTTGTCTTTTTGACAATGTGAAATATTTGTATTTTGGGATTTTTTGAACTAGAAATTTAAAAATTTTAAAGGTTTGCTTCAAAAATTTGAAATTATTAGATAAAGAATTTTGAATATTGGAGATACACATTTGTTAGAAATTGGGATAACAGAACTTGGAGTTGAGTTGATTTTTAACTATAAACATCAGCATCAGTCGGTGAACATGACATTTTAATTAATTGAACACGCATCTATGGTGGGAATTTTTTTTCTTGGACAAACTATTTCAATATTATTATCTTTCTTCTTATCAAACACTAATTCAAAATTTAAAGCTAAGTCTTCAAATATCCATTTTATACTTAGTTTTCTCTGTTAGGGCTGATTGCTGTTTCATTATTAGGGTTTCCAACAGAGACTGGTATATGATATTTAATTTTAGTTTTAAAGTAAAGGAACTAAATTGCTTAGAAATAATTGGACATTTTTCAGATGAGTTAGTTATGAAGTGATTAAGTTTGTAGCCTTGCTGTTATGTCACTTGCATTTGTAATATATTACTTGCTGGAACAACTTTATAAAGAACATAGAGCAGGTGGCAGTGGCTTCCCTTTGCCACTGAGTATAGAAACACTGATAGGAAGTTCGTGGAAGTGCTAAGATTAGGAAACCATTCTCTTGAATCAAAGCCAAATATTTTGTCTGCTGAACTGTGCCGGATGTTACAGGTGAAGTGAGTAAATTGCTGTGCATAGATTTTCTTGGGGACTGACTCATCTGATGTTTAATTCTCTGTCTTAATTTTCTAACATTTTAATTGTGGTTAATGTCAGTAGTAGTGATTCATATTTATTGGTGTATTTTTATTCACTCACTTCTCTTCCCACCTGACCCCTCAAGATTCTTAGGCACAGAGCACTGTCTTTAGCGTAAGTGGTAATAAGAAAAGTTAGTCTTCTACTTAGTTTTTCTGATTTCAACTGCCTCTTTTTATTTGGTTTCCTTCTTTGACATTTAATTGACACTAGTCCTACTGATTAAAACACGCTGAAATTGATCTTAATTGAAGAAGCAAAGAAACTTGTATGATAGGAAAATAAACAAAGGATATGAACAGACAACTTAAAGTAAAAGAAATATACTATTACTACTAGTATGACAATTTTTGTTTTGCCATCTTCCAGACACTGTCTTAAATGCTTTTTACACACACACACACACACACACACACACACACACACACACACACACACACACACACACACACACACACTCTCTCTCTCTCTCTCTCTCTCTCTCTCTCTCTCTCTCTCTCTCTCTCTCTCTCATTCTCTCTTCTCTCTCTTTCTGACTCATTTAATCAACAATCCTGTGAGTAAGTACTATTATCCTTATTTCACATGTGAGACAACTGAGGGACAGAGGTTGAGTAACTTGCTAGGTAACTTGCCATTTACAGCTAGCAACTACAGAGCTGGGATTCAAACCCAGGAAAGCTGGCCCCAGATTATACTCTGATCAAATATGTGATAATGATTTCTTCCAAGCAGAATAAGTACTATAAATTAGTACAAGGACATAGCCCTTCTATTAAATTGGCAGGTATTTTAAAAGGTATGTAGTTTGGGAGGAGGTTACTTGTAGTTGGGGACAATTAATTGAAAAGCAGTGTGGTAGCCTTGAAATAGTCATATTCTTTGGTAATTCTGTGTCAAGCAATCTCTTTTAAGGAAATATTCTGGAAAGTAACAGTGTTCGAGGATTTTCACCAATTATAATAATTATGATAGTGAAAAAAATGGCACATTGTCCAGTTGTTATGGGATGGTTAAATTCTATTTTCTTTAAACAGTAAATAGAATATTATGCAAACATTTAAAAATTGTTTTCGAGGAATAATAATGTATAAAAATATTTATACTAGGTGAAAAAGCAGGATATAAAACCTTGCAGTGTGGTTCCAACTTTAAAATGTGTACGTACAGAAAAACAGGAAGAACATACAGTAAGATGCCAATAATTATTTCTGGTGTGATTAAGGTATATTATTTTTGAACCTTTTACAATGGCCATAAAGTACTTTTTATTCAGAGGAAACCAAGTGGTATATATAGGGAAAGCCTAAATGATACCAATACCAGCTTTTACTAAGAATATTCATTAAAGATTATATTTGCATATCTCATAGTGTAAAGGATAAGTTACTGAATTTCAGAGTTTTAGTCTGGATATTATTATTTTTGTAATCATTTTTTTCTTGATTGAAAACAGCTGATTTTTTTTATAAGTGTGATCGTTATAGTGATTGATTGTCTTAGCACTTTAAATTTGTTTCAGTTTTGTTGGTAGAAGATATGGTTATTTTTCTACCCAGTGGTACTTGTTTTTTTTTTTTTGCAAAACAATTTGACAAAAATGATTGATTTTGTGGAGGAGGAGATGAGTGAGTAAGGATTGAATGCAAGGGACACATGGGCTGTGTGGTTCAGAATTATATTATGAATCAGTTTTACTGTCAGTTTTGAATATGTAGTTACAGTTTTTAGCTACGTAGGTAAGGAATTCAGCTTTCATTTGTTTAAACATCTCTGAAGTTTAGTTCCTTACACCTAAGGTTTAAGAAATCTTAAAATGTAAATGTATGTAATAGAACAAAGATAATAGTCTCTGTTTCGTGCTGGTTTAAAGTTCCCATGTTTTAAAATGTGTTTAAAAAACAAAAGCCCACACTACATTAGGGCATTGTTATAGAAGCAAAGCCTTTTCTGCGTGCTACATGTTAAATAATAAAAATAAATTGCTGATAACTTTGCATCAGTTTTGTTAGCAGCTTCTACCTAAATAGCCTTGTGGTGTTCATGATGAAACACTATGGTACTGCTTTTCTGCGTGCTACATGTTAAATAATAAAAATAAATTGCTGATAACTTTGCATCATTTTTGTTAGCAGCTTCTACCTAAATAGCCTTGTGGTGTTCATGATGAAACACTATGGTACTGCATGCTAACAGCCTCTCTGATTAAAAAGGATTTAAATTGTAGCTTCTGGATGGGAAGAAATTGAAGAAATACTTTGAAAGAAATTATTTCAATTCTGCAAACTTATTTTTATACTCTTACCTGATTTTTAAATATAATTTGAGTTGAATAAGGAATAATATAGAAAATAGTTTCATATATAGGGACTTTATAGTAAATGATTAGGTAGATAAGATGGTTCAACAGGAAATAATGATTATTAGCTTGTTTTGCTTTGGTATTTAATATAAAGAGCTAGGTAGAAATCTTGATAGGAATTAACTTTTCTCCCTTAAAGTCATGAAGGCTTAACATCCATTTTTCACTGGGAAATATCATATGATGTGAAGTTTAGCTTGTTTTCAATGGTCTGTAAGTAAAAGGAAAAATCAAGTATTGCAATTTTCTTTTCTTTTTCCAGGCGGAACTCACGGGAATCAAATGGCGTAGGTACAATTTTGGAGGGCATGGGGACTGTGGGCCCATAATTTCAGCCCCAGCGCAAGATGATCCAATCCTGTTAAGTTTCATCCGTTGTCTGCAAGCCAACCTGCTGTGTGTATGGCGTCGTGATGTCAAACCAGATTGCAAAGAGTTGTGGATATTCTGGTGGGGAGATGAACCCAACCTAGTTGGTGTAATACATCATGAACTGCAGGGTAAGGTCTTTGTTTTTTTGTTTTTTTTTTTTCTTAAAAATTATTTGTATTATTTTTTTGAATAATGGTAAATTCTGCAAAGGTTATTATTAATACTTGGTTAAAAGAAAGACCCCATGTGTTTAATGGGTGTGTCTCAAAAGGAACATCCTCACTGTCATCCCTCATCCTCCTACCCTCATTTTTTCAAACTCTCTTATCCTTTCCCAGTTATGCTGAGAATCAGAACATTGTGAGACACTCTTATTAAAGGGGAAAGTATTATGTCTCCTGGGTGTGTTGGGAAGGAAACGAGGCTAAGAGTCACTGTTTTTAAATGATAATGAATTGTGAGTAATTAGAAAGACAGCAAAATGAACAGAATTGTTTTTTCTTGGACTGTGGCTGTTGTGGTTCATTGCCAGTCAAACTCTGATGGAAAATTGAAAAGTGATACTTAGTGTGAGCCTTAGTGGACAAAATTATGAGATGACCATTGGATAGTATTTTGAAGAAAGAAAGGATCTGGTCTGAATTTGGTATAGTACATTTTCCCTTGCTTTGTTCTTTTTATGTAATTTGGTGATTTCAGGAAATATTGGCTCTAGTGTTGCCTAGTTTGTAACTTCAGATTGTATCTGCTATCTGGAAATTTGAATTAGTATACGAGTTTCTTTGTTGTAAGCTGCTTTTTGTATTTACCATGGATTTATAACCAGAGGAAATTTTATCAATATCCTTTGAATTTCTGGCAAAAGTTTTTACCTCTTTCCCTCAGTGTTTCTGGTATACTAAGGAAATTTCTTTAAATCCAGACAAATTCCAGTCTTTAGTTAGGGTATTAACTCTTTTTGACTTAGTTTTCTAGAATCAATCTTTATTATCTCCAGACTACTCCATATTTTGTTAATTTGTGGTTGAAAAATTTCAGATAGTGTTTGAAATATTTTGTTGATGTTTATAATATTTTTTAAAGGAAGAAGTAAGACTAAGCTTAATGTATACTTGCGGGTCTGTTCAAAAGCTTCTAAATTGGCCAAGAGGATTTCCTGCCAACTCTGCTCTACACCTTCCTAGTTTTTCTTGGCAGCCATTTTTACCTGTGATATCTCCTGCCGCAGCAGCCAGAGGGCGGTAAACCACAGTGGACTATTGAGCTGTTTACCTTACAGTCCATTTGTCTGTTCAACTAAAACCTTTCTCTTGATATTTTTTAGGGTATTTGATTTATATATATAAGAACCCATTTTGAGTGAGCTTGCTTATTTAGCTGGTTAATCAGCAAAATCTCAGAACTTATGTTCATGTCAAAACCCATTTCATGTAATTAACAGTTAACTCAGGTAAAATTAAAGTTTTAGAACATGTGGGTTCTGTTTATTGGAGTTTTAAAAATAAGATATATCCTAAAATATACTTATAGCATTTCTATTTGTCCATTTAAATAACATAATACTTTTGTTCCTTTAATTTTTTTTCACAAGTAGTAGAGGAATGTAATTTTTTTTTTTCCTTTTTTGGTTTTAGTTTCATTCTCCTTTATTTTCATGATTATTATTGATACTTCTCCTCTTCCATTTCTCTACTTGTTATCGATCCCTTATGTGTTAATTTTTTGGTCTGGTCTTTATTTGTAGCACCACAAATCATCATTTTGTAATGATGAAGAAACCAAACCCAACTGTTAAATAGGTTTATTCAGTTGATATAGAGAGTAAAGTTATTTATCTATATCAACAAAAAAAATTATCAGTGTTCTTAGAAATAACTTAAGGTGCTGTGTTATTTCTTATGGGTGTTGCTGAATTAACAAAAAGGTGTGGGCTATTTAAATTTTTCATAGTTGCTTTAGATTGCATCTGTTGATTTGTTAATATCTTATGTATTTTTTGGTGAAGAATTAAAGTTGTTTCTTAACTTACAGAAATATACCACATTTTAATTAGGAAATTTGAAAGACATAGAAACATCAGATGAAGTAAACAAACAAAAATCTTGAAGTCTAAAACAGGATTTTAATAGTTGATGTTTTTATGTATAAATGAAATTGGTATCATACTGTATTGTACCTCAGTTTTTTTCACTTAACACTGTATTGTGAATATTTTCTCATGAGAAAGATTACTTTTTACTTTTATTTCCTTTTCTTTTGATTTTGAAAATAGTGTAACTGTTCTTCCTTTATGTGCCACCAGGGAAGTATTATAATGATGGAACACTGCTGAGTGCACGTGCACTTTTTAATATGTTGAATTTCGAGAAAGTTATTAGACCCAATCATATGAAGTGTTTATTTTTGTAGGTAAAAGTGTTTGAAAAGGTTAATATTATATGGCTTAACCTAACATTAGGAAATATTTGAAACTTAATTAGAAAAATGAGTGGCTTAAAGACAGCTTTCTTTCAAGTGAGGGGAGATATGACAGGTAGAGCAATCAGGAGAAAATGAAGGATACAAAGAGAATATTTTAAATGGTAGTTATACAAATGAAGGATATTTTGGAATCTGTTTCATTTTCTAATATATTTTATTCATTTCATTTTGGGTAAAGTAAATTTTAGCAGAATCCTCTTAGCAGGCTTCAACGTTAAGCACAATAGTACCGTTATTTGTAACATTCTGTTTTTTTTTTTTTTTTTTTCCTTTTTTTTGTCTTTTTTCGTGTCCGGCAATGGATTGCAACCCTCAGTGTCGCGCCCATACCGGACCGGGACCGGCAACGGGATCGCAACCCTTGGTGTTGCTCCCACACCTCGCTCAGCCAGTGAGCGGGAACCGGTCTGTATGTGGGATCCGAACCCTCGGCGGGAGCGCCTCCGTGCTCCAAAGCAGCGCACTGTAGCAGTGCGCCACCAGGCCGGCCTGTAACATTCTGTTTTTATAGGGACATTTTACTGTTCCTTATAATGCCTTTTAGTTATGTTGTTTGGCATTTTCCTTTGTCTTCACAGTGTACCTAACAGAGCATACTACTAAGAAACTGAGCAGTAAAAAATAATACCAAAGCAACCATCTTGCATTTAACTGTATAAAGTATCCCCATAAAATGAGAATATTCCTATAGGATACACATACAAGTTAGTTTTATAAGAGTACACTTCTTGTTTAAATCCTTGAAATATCTATGAAGTAGTCCGAGAGAAGACTATAACACATTTATATTCTCTCTCTGTCACTTGGATAAACTCTTTTGGGCTATTGTCTGGAGGATTGCTGTTTTTTTTTTTTTTTTTTGTCTTATTTCGTGTCCGGCAACGGATCGCAACCCTCGGCACTGCGCCCGCACCTCGCTCAGCCAGTGAGCGGGAACCGGTCTGNTCCTTTTTGTCTTATTTCGTGTCCGGCAACGGATCGCAACCCTCGGCGCTGCGCCCGCACCTCGCTCAGCCAGTGAGCGGGAACCGGTCTGTATGTGGGATTCGAACCCTCGGCGGGAGCGCCGCTGCGCTCGCAAGCGGCGCACTGCGCGCCACCGGGCCGGTCCCTGGAGGATTGCTGTTAATATTACATGTCATAGTGACGCATAGCATGGGCTCTGGATTGCTTGGGTTTGAATGCCTGCATGGTCACTTACTAGCTGTGTATTCTTGGTCAGGTTATTTAACTTATAAGTGTCTCAGTTTTCTCACTGTAAGTTGGGTTATGAGGTTAAAAAGTTAATGAAGTACTTAGAGCAGTACACAAGCAGCTAGTCTATAATTGTAACTATTGCTGCTTCTACTACTGTGATGACAACAGTTAACTCATACATCGATTTAAAAATGTTTTGGCATTTTTTTTAAACAATTGGTTCTGTTCTGTATAACATTTAGTGCTTGCTAATGTCAATTAAATTTTTTTTAAGTATACTTTTAGGTTGAAGTAATTATATTTTCAAGTTTTAATGTTTGGGTGGAATAATAAAACATCAGGGCAGCAAAGATACTCCTGCTCATATGAAGTTTGTCTTGACTTATGCTATGAACAAAGTATGCTATAAACTCAGTACTTTGTGGTTTGACACTGTTGGAGCCCTGTGAGGTTGAGTTGTAACTTTATTGCTTTCTTGCCATAGTATTGTCAAAGCAAGGCACATAATGTGTGTGTATGTCCATTGTGGGGGTATGTCCATCCATCCTTATGTTTCTATGAATGCCTCTATCTTTGGGTTCAATTATATGGGTTTGATGTAATCCCTACCCTTATAAGTTTATAGTCTAAAAAGGGTATAAGACAAGCACACAAATATGTATAATGCTGAGAACACTATAATTGTGAATACTTTACAGAAGTGGAGTAGATTGAGTGCTTTCTAAATAGACATACATTCAATTCCAGGACATCAGTTCCTTCAGTGTTCCATAAACTTATAACAGGAACGCTGTGAACCCTAGTGCCAATGGTAGATAGCCTTCCCGTCCATTTATTCAACCTCTGACATTTGGCAGGAACTGTGATCAGTCCTGGATATGAAAAATGAGCCTTTATCCTTAAAGAGCTTGCAGTCTCATTGGGGAGGTAGCTAAATGAATCTGTAATTTTAATACAAAGTAGTATTTGCTGTAAATGATTTAAGTTATGGATCCTGCAGAAGCATCAGATTCAGCCTTGGAGAACAAAGGGAGGGGCCATGATGGGGAAGCCCAGAGGTGGTAAGTGTTAGACTGTTTTCTGTTGCTTATAACAGAATACCTGAACCTGGGTAATTTATAAAGAAATTAAAGTTATTCTTACAGTTTCTGAGGCTAGGAAGTCCAAGATTGAGGGGACATATCTGGTGAGGGCCTCCTTCTTGGTAGGGACTCTCTCCAAAGTCCCATGGTGATGCAGGGTATCACATAGGGCTGAGCAAGAGAGTTTCTCCACATGCTTTCTTCCTCTCTTTAGAGAGCCCCAAGTCTACTCCCTGATAACCCATTAAGCCATTAACCCATTAATTCATGTATGGATTAATCCCTTTGTGAAGGCATAGCCCTCACAATCCAACCCCTTCCTCCCCCTCTTTCAAATACCATATTGGGGGTTAAGTTTCAACATGAGC